GAGACAAACATACCACTTAGCCGAAATGAAGACTGGGTGTATTTGGCAAGTTTATGGCATCCTTTGACTTCTGACTTCCAGGGAGATATATAACGAGCACGCGTTCTCATCTCACCTTGAAGAAGCTTGGTTTTGCTTATTTTCCAGCATCTAGAAACAAAATCGAAATGTCATTTTCCCAGAGCCAAATGTATCACTCTATTTTCATGCATGTCGTCTGTCTTGCTCTTGGCGGGTGGCAGGGCCTACAGAACTACAGCCTACCATGAACCCCTGGTAAGCCTGTGACCTATTATGGTCTCTGTAACTCAGGATACAATGTATTTAGGAAAGATCCTTCCCTGGAGGTAAGGAAAGACTATGCCACCAGAGGAAGGAGACAGAATTCTGGAGTGGCTGACTGACATGTGCCCTTTTGCTATGTAGCCTGGACATGAGATGTAGGTTTTGGGGAGTCTTAACCTACGGCCTTCTTAGATCGTGAGCCTCAGAACAAGTGTAGCTTTTCAGCCCATTTGTGACGACGGCATTACAAACGCCAGTACTCTGGTCACAGGTATCGTCAACAAAACCACAAAGAAACTAACAATGCATGGCCAGCTGTGTGATCTCCAAAAACAATGGTTAAGTAAAAAGAGCAAGCAGAACACGGGCTTCTTTAGGCTTTTCCCTGCCCGGTATCACCATTGTCACGAAAACAAATTTCTACACTGTAGGGAACCAACAGATAAAGCCTAAAAACCGGAAAAGGAAAAAAGAGAAAGAAAGAAATGCAATTGGCTGGCATCGTCTCCACATCCTGGACCATAGTATCAAATATCAATGCCCTGAAAGCAAGAAAGGAACCCATAAACACTAAAGGATGACAAATTCCATACAAAATCTACTAGCGGCGAAAATTTCAAACGCAACCATAAAAGCTAAGTATCTGGGGCTGGGGAGATGGCACAGAGGCTGAGAGAGCAAACCATTCTTGGAGAGGACCCAAGTTTGGTTCCCAGCCCCCCGACAATGGGTAGCTTACAACTGCCTGTAACTCTAGTTCCAAAGGATCTGATGGCCACAGGCACCTGCACACGTGTGTCCAAACTAATACAGGCATACACACTTAACGTTTTCCAGGAAGATCTTTTTTAAAAGACTTATTTTTCTTTTATGTGTATAAGTGTTTTGTCTGCATTTTTGTCTGTGTACCACATGCATACCTGGTACCTGCAGAAGCCAGAAGAGGGAATCAGATCCCCTGGATCTGGAGTTACAAATGGTGGCGAGCTGTGACGTGTGGCCTGGGAACCCAGGTCCTCAGTCAGAGCAGCAAATACCCTTACCTGCTGAAACATCTCTCTAGCCCTAAAAAATAAAATAATTCTTTTCACAAAGAAAATAAATGTCTAATGTCAACTGACTCTCTGAGTGTGGGGTCTGCCTGGAAGTGTGGTTGATACACCAGGAGTCACAATGTATTAGTTATTCGTCGCTTTTTTCTTGCTGCAATAAGACACCATGACCAACACCGCTTATAGAAGAAAGAATTTAATTGGGTTCACAGTTTCAACAGTTTCGAGTCCATGATGGGGGGCAAAGGCATGGCAGCCTGAGCTCACATCTCAGACCACAAGCAGGAAGCAGAACTAGATCAAAATCGGTCTTTTGAAACTTCACTGGGGGCAAGCTTGGGATTTTAAAGGCTCCTATCACACACACACACACACACACACACACACACACACACACCCGTGTACTCTCCGCCTCCTACTTGTGGATCGAGATGCGAGCTCTCAGCTGCCTACTGTCATGCCTTCACTTGCCACCATAGACTTTAACCCTCTGGAAATGCAAGCTCAGTTCTCCTCTAAATTACCTTGGTCATGGTGTTTTTGTCACCGCAATGGAAAATAAAAGTGTCTTAATAATAATAGAATAATTGAGTAATAGAATATTAGAATAATAATTAGAAATTTAATTAGTTGCATTCAAGTTCTTTGTAACTGATCACATATAATTAAGGGTACAATGCAATGTTTGATGTGTATTTCCACTGTATATGGGTTAAATAAAGCAGAGGCATGGCCTCACAGGAACTTTCTGTTGAAGGCACTTAATATGCACTCTTTCAGGAATTTTGTGACATAAGATACACTGCGGTGGTTCCTCGAAAAAAAAAAAAGCCGAAGTTAATAAGCTCGGTGGGTAAAGGCAATTGCTGCCAAGTCTGATGATCTGAGTGATACTGAGCATCACCTGGTGGAAGACTAGAACCAACTTCCAGAACATGCACGCCAATCTCTACATGCAGCCCATGGCCAGGAGGCACAAGTGTGTATATTCACACAGACACAATAGATTTTTTAATGTATTTACAAAGAACTCATGTGCTTCAGCAGTCTGTCATCCAAGAAGTTGAGAGAAAGCCTAGTGCCAGAAATGGGTTACTTCTTTGGGATTCATTGGCCAGTGAAGTCCCAAAGCACCCCAAACTTTATAAGCTATTGTCAGTGTTCTTGGCTCCCCTCTAGGTTTGATGATAAGACCCTGATGTTGAAGACAACCATTTACTTGAGTCATAGGACATGAAGAAATGGAGTTGGTGCTGCCCCGCAAGCTTCATTTCTATTGGCTAACTTTCATAGCAAGGTGCTAAGCATGCTACTGGGAGAAAAAAGTGTACCTTCCTGGGGAAGGCACACAAGAAACATTATACAGAGCAAGGTGGTTATATTTAGGAGTGTGTGTGTGTGTGTGTGTGTGTGTGTGTGTGTGTGTACATGATATTGCATACATAATGAAATGATGCCATGAATTTGAGAGCAAGGAGCGCTCATGACGGGGTAGAACGGAGGAAAGAGAAGGGGGAAATAATTCAATCAAATTACAATCTCAAAAACCGAAATGATTTTTTTGTTGTTGTTGTTTTGTTTTTCAAGACAGGATTTCTCTGTAGCTTTGGAGCCTGTCCTGGAACTAGCTCTTGTAGGTCAGGCTGGCCTCGAACTCACAGAGATCCACCTGCCTCTGCCTTCACTGTGATGGTGCACACCTTTAATCCCAGCACTCAGGAGGCAGAGGCAGACAAATCTCTGAGTTTGAGGCCAGCCTGATCTACAGAGTGAGTTCCAGGACAGCCAAGGCTACACAGAAAAAAAAATAAAATTAAATTTTAAAACACCTGTCTTGGAACAAAAACAAAAAACAAACAAAAAAATAAAGGCATGTGCCACTACCACCATGCTCTGAATGATTTTTGAAGAAAGTAAGCCTCCCTCTAGCCCCCTGAGAACAGTCGTCACTCTTGACAGTACCCCTAGCCTTCTACACTTGGCTTGTGGTTCCGTGCCTTAGAAGCCAGAGACTTTGGGCTCTGGGTGCACACTTGCCAGCAGCCTGGCACTGTGCCTCCAGTGAAACTCCCTGCTCTTAAGTGGCAGCTGTAGCAACAGTCAGCAGCAGTTAGTGCCAGCTAGTGTCAGGGCCTTCAAGTACTTCCTATTGAGATGCTCCACACCTACCCTCCAGTGACCAGGAAATTACGGTCATGGCTCTCAAGCAGGCTTGGGTATCAGGACCCTCAACCCTGAGGGGCGGTGTCTCTAGTGACCACAGCCCCAAAAAGCCTCCATCCCTCACTCCTCACAGTCTTCCTCCTTCCAGCCTTGGCTTCCTGCCACTGTGCCCGAGGAGTGGCTGGTGGTTGCTCCGCTAACCCCTCAGCTATCTTCATTGTCACAGCTGGCTCTCGCCGCTGTTGCACTGTTGTTTCCAGCTAAGCTGGCGGTGCCCGTGATAGGCAAGGAAAGACCATTTCATAAGGCCTCATATTGCAACACCATGAGAAGGACAGGAAAACTAGCTGAACCATCTAATTTATATAGACCAGAGAAGGCCATGGTGAGGGCGTGTCCTGTAAATGAAGAATTGTATTTGCATCAACCACAGCATAGCCTCCAGTTTCATAGCGCTGGTCTCTTGATGCTTCCCCTCCTTCTTCAATGAAAATAGCTTCCAGGTCATCTAACGGTCACCACAGCCTATCTTGCTGGGGATACCATCTTCCAATGCCGGCACCGCGGCCTACAGTGGTCATGACTGGCGCAAGGCCTTCCACAGCAGGAGTCTTGGCTTCAGTTGCCATAACCTGTTCAGTTGGCACGTGTCACCTGGCTTCCAAGTGTGTCCAACAGACTGGCTGTCAAAGAGGGGCTGCCGGTTAGAGCTGCCCAGCTCCAAGCTGCAGGGCTTAAGGGAAGGGGCTATCCATTGTTATCCAAAGTGTCTCTCCAAAGTGGGTAGGTATCTCTCCAACCCACTCTAGGGAGTTACCTTGGTTAGGGTTTCCATTGCTGCGACAAGACACCATGACCAAAACGCAAGTTGGGGGTGGGGAAGGACCCTGAAGGAAGTCAGGACAGGAACTCAAACAGGGCAGAATCTGGAGGCAGGAGCTGATGCGGAAGACCTGGAGGGGGGTTGCTTACTGATTTGCTTCCCCTGATTTCTCAGCCTATTTTTTTATAGAACGGAGGACCAGCAGCAGCCCAGGGATGGCACCACCCACAACCGGCAGGGCCCTTCCCCATTGATCAAAAGTTTAAAATGCCTTACAGGAGGCTTTTCCTCAATTGAGGCTCCTTCCTCTTTGATGACTCTAGCTTGTGTCAAGTTGACACAAAACTAACCAGAACAGTTTTGCTCATTCATAGAAAGTTCCACCAAAAACTAACATTTTCAACAGTGTTTAACAATGTTCTGCCCTGCCCCGGCACCTTGGGTCGCTCGGTCTCTGTCAGCTCCAGCTAGAGGTAACCTAATAGCCCCTGCAACCGGGCAAGAAGTTCTGCCTGGTACTTAAGGTAAACAGCTAGGGCAGCAATATTTGCCATAGGAGGAGGTATTTACGGTAACGGAAACAGGCTGCGCAACAGCATTTACGGTAAGGGGGCCGGACTGGCCAAGGCCGGGCATCTGGATCAGCTCTGCCAGCTCGCGGCGCTCTCAGGTGAGAGCACCCGCCCAGGACGGGCGGACGGTGCACAATGGCCCCTCGGGGCAGTGAGGGGCCGTGGTCCTCGGGCCAGACCCACCACAGCCACGCCCCGCATCCGGCACCCCGGGGTCCAAGTACAGCACAGCCTCCTGCATCGTCGGGAGCCACAGTCTGACCCGGGGGACCTGCCCGCGCCCCGTGTCCCGATGGGCCTGTGCTATAGCCTGCGACCGCTGCTCTTCGGCAGCTCGGAGGACGCCCCCTGCGCCGCCTCGGACCCGCGCTCGGAGGACGGGCAGCCCAGCGCCATCCCAGCCCCAGTCCCGGTCCCAGCCCCGGCTCCAACGGGGACACTGCTCCGACGAAGCGCCGGCCGGAACCCCGCGAGCGTGCGGCCGGCAGTGGAGCTGCAGAGCCGGCGGCGGCAAGAGCAGCTGCGCGCCGTGGAGCGAGAAGCCGCTAAGGAGGCGAGGAAAGTGAGCCGCGGCATCGACCGCATGCTGCGCGAGCAAAAGCGCGACCTGCAGCAGACGCACCGACTCCTCCTGCTGGGTAAGTCTGCACCTCGGGCGCCGGAGACCCTACCTGGGGGAATGTCAGGTGTGAACACAGCATACAGAGTGACTTTCACCCTGACATTTAAACGACTTCGTCACTCCTGGGTGATTTCGCTCTCTTCCATTGCCTTGTGACCCCGGGCCAGTGGCTCGCCGATTACTAATTAATGAGCCTCTCTGGGAAATTTCCGCCCTTGGTCCATTGATTTCCGCAGCGTGAACTCCACAGGGATGTCTCATCCTAGTCCTCCATTTCCTGCCACAGTCCAGGCAGCTTAGTTTGTTCGAAGAACACCAATCAAAGGAGACTTAGAAAGCCTTTTAGCTGGACCACAAAGCTTTTATCGTGAACACAGTCTTAGAGCAGAGCTGGGATAGGTGTACGGTGCCGGCTGTTGAGAAACAGCATCGTTATCCGTATCACGGTGTCATAGAAGCGGTGCCCGGTGCTGTGATGCTGTTTGCCCTTCTCAGAACCAGCAGCGTAAGAGAGAGCGGCAGGTCCTGTCTGTTCCCTCCCTGTGTCCCGTCCCCAGCCTCAATATTCCCTCACCAACTGGAATAAAGTGGACATAAACCTGCCAGCATTTGGAGGTTCCTTGGAAATGTTCAAAGTTGAGTATGAGCAACCTTAAGTGTGCTCTTATTAACTGACAACGGGAAAACACTTTCGGTACTGCCGAGTGTGCAATGAAAGGGGAAATAAGTCATGAATTCCTACATGTCTCTCCGCACACACGCGGAGATCAGAGGAGGACATTGGGAATCCTGCTTGACCACACCCCTCCTTGATCCTCTGAGACAAGGTCTCTCGTTCAGCCTGGACCTAGATTTGTAACCCCCAGCCTTGGGGTTGCAGGGTTTCGTTGATGCTGGGATCCAAACTCAGGTCCTCAGGCATGGGTGTCAAGTGCCAACTCTCTGTCCCCTAACTCATAAAGTCTTGTTTTACAATTTTATTGCGTTGATTTATTTGTGCGTGTGCTGGCACATGCTTGTGGAGGTCAGAGGACAACTTACGCGCAAGTCTCTTCTCTCCTACCAACGTGTGGGTCCCAGGGATGGAACTTGGGTTAGTAGGGTTGCCGAGTACTGGCCCTGAACCGTGAATTGTTGCTGCTCTTTGTCGCTTTTTTAGATTTATGGGGGGGAACGTAAGATGTCAGAATTTGATCCAACTTGGTGAGCTATCAGGAGGAAGGGCTGCCGTCTGTGCTCAACTCTGTGTAGGGGGCTATGCCATGAGAAGTAAGAACTAGTTTACAGATGAATGCAGCTCTTAAAATCTGAAGAACAAATATTGAGCTTAAATAGACTCACCCACTTTTTAAAATTAATAATTTAAAACAAAACTAGCTGCTGTATCGTGGTGAAATGTCTTAATTCTAAAACGGAATTTTCTCTTGAAACCGAGGACAAAAAAATAAACGTGAGACTTCTACCTTTTCTTCAGGTGACACATTTTCAAACCTCTATGGATAATGGAAATCATGCAATCTGCATACTATACTTTGCCCATGTATATGCATACATATGATAAAGTTTAATATGTAAATTGGGCACAGTAAGAGACTCACAACAGCCTAATAGAATACTGAACAATAACCTGTAATAAATGTCATATGAATGTGGTTTCTCTCCAAATCTTACTGTACTATACCGGCCTCCTCCTCCTCCTCCTCCTCCTCCTCCTCCTCCTCCTCCTCCTCCTCTTCTTCTTCTTCTTCTTCTTCTTCTTTTTAATTTAGTTTTGGTTTGGTTTTTGGATACAGGGTTTCTCTGTAGCTTTGGAGCCTGTCCTGGAACTGGCCAGGCTGGCCTCAAACTCACAGAGGTCTGCCTGCCTCTGCCTCCTGAGTGCTGGGATGAAAGGTGTTCGCGACCACCGCCCGGCTACGAGCCCTTTTTAAGATGCTGCAAGATGACCCAAAGTTTCAGCGATGAAATAAAGGTGGATGACACTGAGTTGTGGTGTGTTTGGAATATGGGGCATCGCATGTGTTGTCTTTTTCCACACAGGTGCATACACAGACGCGTGAATGTTTACATTGCACTTCCTTCAGGGGACCAGTGCTCGGAAAAGTCACCGACAGGTTAGCACCTGAAGCAACTGTCTCAGCATCTCAACCCCAAGCAGCAGTTGTTATCGAAGGAAACAATTTCTCCTAGGTGGTCTTTACATTCTTGGAATTGGTGTGATAGGCATGTCTCCCGTGTTATCACCCTCTCCATTTGTCTTTCATTTTGAATATCTGGGATCAGACAGTTCTTAAGCCTCTTAGTCTGCTTAATGTCTGCTGGTGTCAACTCTGCACTCTTGAGAGCAAACGGGTCATGAATAAAGTATATATGCAGATTCCTTCTTACATTGCAGAATACAGAAAGTACCCTCACACATCCTCACACCCCCTATCGGTAACATACTATTATAAGAGATGCTTGAAAATCCCGCAGCGGGTCAAAACTAGATAACTAAGTGACCCACAAGCAAATAGCATATACAGTGTAGGTACTCTGGACAAAGAGATGGTTCACCGCCTAGGCAGGAGGGAGTGGTCAACACACGATTTCACTGTGTTAATTAGAAAGGCCATTGAAAACTTATAGTTTATTTTTGAAATGTTTCGTTTAATATTCCCTTTTTAAAAAGATTTATTTATTCATGTATTTTATGTATATGAATGCTCCGTTTTCATGAGCACCAAAAGAAGGAATCAGATCCCATTACAGATGGTTGTGAACCACCATGTGGGTTCTGGGAATGGAACTCAGGACCTCTGGAAGAGCAGTCGAGAGTTTTTAACCACTAAGCCATCTCTCAAGCTCCCATTTAATACTTTCTAACAACTGTTAACCATGAGTAACTAAAACGACAGAGTTAACTATCATATACCAAAACAGAATACACTTGCCTCAAACAAAGAAACCAAGAAGTTTCAAAGTTCTGCTCTCCAGCTCCCTAGCGCCAACTTCTAGAATATGACAAAGCAAATGTTTCTAGGGGACTGGGGATACGAAATTATATTTTTAGAATTTCATGCCTATTTTGAATCATAGTTGGGGGCATAGGCATTAGATACATTTTTGAAAGACAAAACAAATATTGGCTGCCTATAACGCATTTTGAGAGACTTTCCTCTTCAAAGGCATCATCTCACACCCTAATGCAGCTCACTTATTACCTCATGTTTGAAAGAGTGAGAACTCCAAGTACACATACATTCAATTTATTTAATGGATCAGATTTTAAAAGCTCAAGAGGGGGAGAATTATGGTTTCAAGAAATGGGTTAATAAGGTCATGAGTTATGATTATCAAGGGTTTTTTTTTCCTTTTTAAATGTGTTTTATCTGTATGGTGTTTTGTCTGCATGTATGTCCGTGCACCATGTGCATCCAGTACCCTTGACAGCCTGAAGATGGATGGCGTCAGACACCCTGGGACTGGAATTTTAGACAGCCGGGAGTTCCCGGGTGGGTGCCAGGAATCAAACTCAGGTCCACTAGAAGAACACCAAATGCCTTAACCACTGAGCCATCCCTCTAGCCACTCACATAGGGCTTTTCAGTGTGATTGACAAGTCAAACATAACTCCTAAAAATAACAGAAGTGGGGCTTAGCATGTGCAACGCTTTGTTTGGGTTTAGTCCCAGAAGCACCACCATCAGAAATATATATAGCAGAAAATGCTTGATTTGTGATAAAGAAGACAAGTGATGGTCTCTGAAGAAGGCTCCGGTGGGCTATATAACAAAAATTTAGGTCCATATTGATGGTTGTTCTCTTTAAAGACTACCTCATGGCCTAATGTGGTTTTTATAGCAACATCTAGTCTGAGTGTTAGTCCAAATGACTCATTTTGTAAAGTACATTGCATCCTCCACCCAGTGTTATCAACGGGAAGACCTGGGTCTAAGATTAGTTCAGAGGTAGCAGGCACTGGCTCTGGGGCCTAGAGCACCAGCCTTGAGAAGCAAGAAAATCACAGTAATAACTTTTTAAAAGCCTGATACATCAGGCTGAAATGCTTTATTCATTTTTAGTAGATTTGAGTTAAATGCAGAAAGGTTTCTGGCATTTATTACAATTTAGAACTTGTCTAGAAGTTTTGGCTCAGACTTGTTTGACTAGAAGTTTTGGCTCAGACTTGCAGGCTCTTGATCCCCCGTATCTGCTTCTGAAGCGCCTGTGTTTACTAATGAGCTTTTGCTTTGGCTTTTGCTTACCCACTGTTTTAGCAACCCTAGACAGGTGCATCGAGAGCCCAGCATTGGCGACAGAGGTCACAGACCCGGGAAAGGCATGCTTGCTCCAGCGCCCCTCTACCCTGGTCCATTGTGTTGATGATGCTCTCTCATCTCCACCCACAATAACGGCTCAGGCCAGGATGTCATCCCAAGGCCCAGGTCTACTGCAAGGTTGATCAGATTCCTTGACTCTCTTCCGTACAGCACGCATCAAGGTTCCCCAGCAACAGCACAAACATCTAGTCATCCTTGCAACAGTGAGGATCTCTTGATTTGAGGGGTGCGGCCCTGTTTTAATTTTAGGGGGAACATTTTTCAGGAACGCATGGTATTGCCGAGTTCAGGGATGGGATGGGATGCGATGGAGTCAGATTTGTACAGCATGGCTGTGGCCTTGGAGAAGGGCTCAGTGACTGGATGTGAAACCCAGGCAGTAGGAAGGGACCTGATAACTCTGCTTTGTAAGCAGACAGTCTACGGTGGAGGTGCTGACGGAGCTGTTTCCTAGTGCGGGATCCTGGGCTTGTAGACAGAGTCCTTCACATGGTGTTTGCTATGAAAATCTTTTCCTCTGTGTGTAGGTGAGGGGCTTTCTGCTCTCTCCTCTTCTAAGGACATCAGCTCTATCCAATCAGAATCTTACCTTATGACCCCATTTTCCCTTAGTTACCTCCTTAGGCTCGATGGCATAATAACATTGAGGAGTGTAATTCAGCATATGAATCTGGAGTAGAAAATGTAAAATTGC